GTAATTTTCTGAAGGGGACCTTATATGGGGGGTAGGGTCAATTATGAACCGATCCTCATAAAATTTTGCATAATGATTTTGGATCATAAGAAACTTCCATATGCCGAATTTTATCGCTATATTCGTATTTTTAAACAAGTTATGGCTGTTAAAGCTGCTTTTCGAGGGGCCACTTGTATGGGGGCTATCAGAAAATGTGGACCGATATTGCCCATTTTCAATACCAAACAAACCTTACCTGTTAGAAATATTTATGTAAAATTTCAACCCTCTAGCTCTTTCCATTGGGACTCTATCGTGCTTGCAACAGACAGACAGACAGACGGACGGACGGACGGACAGACATGGCTAGATCGACTTAGAATTTAATGAGGACCCAGAATATATATACTTTTGTGGGTCTATGACCAATATTTCGATGTGTTACAAACGGAATGACAAAATCAATATACCCCCCATCTTTTTTGATGGTGGGTATAAAAAAAGTAAATAAATGAAATTGAATGAATTGCCTTGCCCATTCCGCCCGACAGCCTGCTGCCAAACTATTTTAAATGGACGTTAAAAGTAGAAGTTTTGATAGCCAAAATAAGTGTATGACAAACATTTTAGGGAACACACTCTCTCACTCCTTTGGACATTTTGCTCATACAGCACTGGGGATCCTAATACCAAAATAAAACGCAAACAAATAAACAGCGAAGAGCATACTTTGCCAAAAATCATTAAAAAAAAAAAACAGAGAAGTGAACTGGTATGATAGCAGAGTTTTTAAAGAGTTTATTTATGATATAGTGATTATATGGGAAATCGATGATTTTGTTAATATGAGACATTTTGATCAATATTAAATTTTGAAAGCTTAGTATCATGTCCTGTAAAAGCAAAAATAGAATTTGTGTAGTTTATTATATTTTGAAACTATTTAGTTAATCGATTAAGTAAATATTTTAAATTTGTTTCTTTTATATTAACATAAATTATTTACTCATGTGTGTAAACAATTAAACAGAAACTTTTAGGTTGTTAGTTAGTTTGATAGAAGGATGTACATTACATCAAATTCGAAGAAAACGCCTTGGGCTTCACCGGACGCTACTAGGCTATATAATAAACTATATACTAGACTTTGGACTAGACTATATACTAGACTTTGGACTAGACTATAGACTAGACTATAGACTAGACTATAGACTAGACTATAGACTAGACTAGACTAGACTAGACTAGACTATAGACTAGACTATAGACTAGACTATAGACTAGACTATAGACTAGACTATAGACTAGACTATAGACTAGACTATAGACTAGACTATAGACTAGACTATAGACCTAGACTATAGACTAGACTATAGACTAGACTATAGGACTAGACTATAGACTAGACTAGACTAGACTATAGACTAGACTATAGACTAGACTATAGACTAGACTATAGACTAGACTATAGACTAGACTATAGACTAGGACTATAGACTAGACTATAGACTAGACTATAGACTAGACTATAGACTAGACTATAGACTAGACTATAGAATAGACTATAGACTAGACTATAGACTAGACTATAGACTAGACTATAGACTGACTATAGACTAGACTATAGACTAGACTATAGACTAGACTATAGACTAGACTATAGACTAGACTATAGACTAGACTATAGACTAGACTATAGATTAGACTAGACTATAGATAGACTAAGACTATAGATAGACTATAGACTAGACATAGGACTAGACTATAGACTAGACTATAGACTAGACTATAGACTAGACTATAGACTAGACTATAGACTAGACTATAGAGACTAGGACTATAGTACTAGACTATAGACTAGACTATAGACTAGACTATAGACTAGACTATAGACTAGACTATAGACTAGACTATAGACTAGACTATAGACTAGACTATAGACTAGACTATAGACTAGACTATAGACTAGACTATAGACTAGACTATAGACTAGACTATAGACTAGACTATAGACTAGACTATAGACTAGACTATAGACTAGACTATAGACTAGACTATAGACTAGACTATAGACTAGACTATAGACTAGACTATAGACTAGACTATAGACTAGACTATAGACTAGACTATAGACTAGACTATAGACTAGACTATAGACTAGACTATAGACTAGACTATAGACTAGACTATAGACTAGACTATAGACTAGACTATAGACTAGACTATAGACTAGACTATAGACTAGACTATAGACTAGACTATAGACTAGACTATAGACTAGACTATAGACTAGACTATAGACTAGACTATAGACTAGACTATAGACTAGACTATAGACTAGACTATAGACTAGACTATAGACTAGACTATAGACTATAGACTAGACTATAGACTAGACTATAGACTAGACTATAGACTAGACTATAGACTAGACTAGACTATAGACTAGACTATAGACTAGACTATAGACTAGACTATAGACTAGACTATAGACTAGACTATAGACTAGACTATAGACTAGACTATAGACTAGACTATAGACTAGACTATAGACTAGACTATAGACTAGACTATAGACTAGACTATAGACTAGACTATAGACTAGACTATAGACTAGACTATAGACTAGACTATAGACTAGACTATAGACTAGACTATAGACTAGACTATAGACTAGACTATAGACTAGACTATAGACTAGACTATAGACTAGACTATAGACTAGACTATAGACTAGACTATAGACTAGACTATAGACTAGACTATAGACTAGACTATAGACTAGACTATAGACTAGACTATAGACTAGACTATAGACTAGACTATAGACTAGACTATAGACTAGACTATAGACTAGACTATAGACTAGACTATAGACTAGACTATAGACTAGACTATAGACTAGACTATAGACTAGACTATAGACTAGACTATAGACTAGACTATAGACTAGACTATAGACTAGACTATAGACTAGACTATAGACTAGACTATAGACTAGACTATAGACTAGACTATAGACTAGACTATAGACTAGACTATAGACTAGACTATAGACTAGACTATAGACTAGACTATAGACTAGACTATAGACTAGACTATAGACTAGACTATAGACTAGACTATAGACTATAGACTAGACTATAGACTAGACTATAGACTAGACTATAGACTAGACTATAGACTAGACTATAGACTAGACTATAGACTAGACTATAGACTAGACTATAGACTAGACTATAGACTAGACTATAGACTAGACTATAGACTAGACTATAGACTAGACTATAGACTAGACTATAGACTAGACTATAGACTAGACTAGACTAGACTATAGACTAGACTATAGACTAGACTATAGACTAGACTATAGACTAGACTATAGACTAGACTATAGACTAGACTATAGACTAGACTATAGACTAGACTATAGACTAGACTATAGACTAGACTATAGACTAGACTATAGACTAGACTATAGACTAGACTATAGACTAGACTATAGACTAGACTATAGACTAGACTATAGACTAGACTATAGACTAGACTATAGACTAGACTATAGACTAGACTATAGACTAGACTATAGACTAGACTATAGACTAGACTATAGACTAGACTATAGACTAGACTATAGACTAGACTATAGACTAGACTATAGACTAGACTATAGACTAGACTATAGACTAGACTATAGACTAGACTATAGACTAGACTATAGACTAGACTATAGACTAGACTATAGACTAGACTATAGACTAGACTATAGACTAGACTATAGACTAGACTATAGACTAGACTATAGACTAGACTATAGACTAGACTATAGACTAGACTATAGACTAGACTATAGACTAGACTATAGACTAGACTATAGACTAGACTATAGACTAGACTATAGACTAGACTATAGACTAGACTATAGACTAGACTATAGACTAGACTAGACTATAGACTAGACTATAGACTAGACTATAGACTAGACTAATAGACTAGACTATAGACTAGACTATAGACTAGCACTATAGACAGACTATAGACTAGACTATAGACTAGACCTATAGACTAGACTATAGACTAGACTATAGACGAGACTATAGACTAGCTATAGACTACACTATAGACTAGACTATAGACTAGACTATAGACTAGACTATAGACTAGACTATAGACTAGACTATAGCTAGACTATAGACTAGACTATAGACTAGACTATAGACTAGACTATAGACTAGACTATAGACTAGACTATAGACTAGACTATAGACTAGACTATAGACTAGACTATAACTAGACTATAGACTAGACTATAGACTAGACTATAGCCTAGACTATAGACTAGACTATAGACTAGACTATAGACTAGACTATAGACTAGACTATAGACTAGACTATAGACTGACTATAGACTAGACTATAGACTAGACTATAGACTAGACTATAGACTAGACTATAGACTAGACTATAGACTAGACTATAGACTAGACTATAGACTAGACTATAGACTAGACTATAGACTAGACTATAGACTAGACTATAGACTAGATATAGACTAGACTATAGACTAGACTATAGACTAGACTATAGACTAGACTATAGACTAGACTATAGACTAGACTATAGACTAGACTATAGACTAGACTATAGACTAGACTATAGACTAGACTATAGACTAGACTATAGACTAGACTATAGACTAGACTATAGACTAGACTATAGACTAGACTATAGACTAGACTATAGACTAGACTATAGACTAGACTATAGACTAGACTATAGACTAGACTATAGACTAGACTATAGACTAGACTATATAGACTAAAAGAAAGTAAGTTAGAACTCTTAATGACTAGAATTTATATATGTATAGTCCTCCTAGGGGACCTCTAAATTAAAGACTTGATATTTTGCCCGCTGGATTCTGACACCAATACACAAACAAATTTATACTTGAGTGTTACTAATCTGGTTCTTTAATTTACTTTACGTTCTGAGTTTCGCACAATTTCTACACTTACGCTCTGTAAAATGTTGTTGATATTGTTCCGTATTGAATTGTTGTTGCAGTAATTGTTGTTTTTCTGTTATTGTTGTTGTCGTTGCTATCGTAATCCAATTTATACGTTAATTTTTTCACTATTTGGTCTTGTTGCTTTTGTTGTTGTTATTGTGGTTGTTGTAGTCAATTGTTGTAGATACACGCATGTGCCAAAAATATGTGGGCAACAAACAACAGCAGCAAATAGTAGCAAACAGTAAAAATGAAAATTTGAAAATATGTGCAGAAAAAAAATAAAACTAATTTTTCTAATAATTTTTCATGAAAATTTAGGTTTTTTTCTTTCACTTTCTATGTTTAAACCACAAGTTTAAGGACACAATTATCTAATTTTTTTTCTGTATTTTTTTGTATTTTCACTAGATTTTTTTTTAATTAGATTTTTTTATATTTTTCTTAAATATTGGTAATTTTTAAAGGGTTTTATATTAAAATTTTATTATTTTCTTTTTTTATGTTTGCAAAAGTAATAAATTTTTATGGTTTTATATTTATTAACAATTTATGGAAGCCATTAAGTAATAACTATTTGCTTTTTAACAAAAAATTGTCCTTTTATCTTTGAAATCTTTTTTTTTCTTCAATGTTTGTATTTTTCAAGCAAATTCCGTAACTTTTTCCCGTTTGTTAAGTTTTTTTTTCCAACTTGCACCATACTGTTTGAACCCCCAAATAACACTGAATAGAAAATTTGTTTGTGCAACATGAGATACTATACTATTTTGTATTTAACTGTAACTGAAAGTTTTGTGAGCAGCAGCTAACAGGGTTGCCAAAAGGTGGAATTGTTTCCATTGTAGAGGAATGTTCCAAAATTCGGAAGAAAGCTGGAAATACTGGATAAATATTCTTTAACACTCTTAAAAGTCTATAAATATCAAAACATTGATCTAAAGTTTTAATTATGAGTTTCTGTTTGGCTCAAATTTCAAAATGGCTACTACACTATCTTTAAAAATAGCGTGGATTCAAATAGTTATCACCCTAAGATCAGTGAGAGCCATTTTGTTTCAAATATTGATATGGATCAAATACGACAGCTCTACTTTAACTTGATCTTCACTTTCAATCGAACTTAATAATGAAAATTTAAAGTTTTTTAATAACAACAGATTATCATGAACCATTTTCCTTAGGTCCGTATTAATCGATAACGAGTTGAAGGGATTGCAGTTCTAGTAGAACAGTACTAGGTGTTCTAAGTCGAATTCTGCATGCGATATCTGAGAGACCAAAGTGTAAACTGTATACGTGAGGGTTGAAGCCATCTGATCCCTGTAAAGCAATAGGTTTACTCTCGAAATAGTGGAACCTTTGTGGGAATATTTACAGATAGCACAGAACAAATGTTTAAGCCAGAGACCAAAGAGACTTTTATAAGGAATTAAGCTTCACGGAATCAGAATCTGGTCTCTGAATTTTTTCTTCGCATTTTCGAGATATCATGTCCAGACAGCTTCATTTATTTCATACATATAAAACTATGGTCTGTTAGACATTGACGCTCTATGATCTAAAACAGGAGTTACGCTTAAGGGATTTATTTAATCCCTCGGGCTGCCATAAATACTAATATTTTTATTGCTTCTAATCTATGATGAAGGTCTAAAAATATAGATATATCTATAGACCTAGTTCTCTAGATTTGGCTGTAGATTTAAGGTACTTGAGAGTGGACTTTAAACTTTACTTTGATAATTCCGAAACCCCAAATTTTTGAAACCCCACATAATAAAAACAAATACAGTTTGGCAACTCTATATAAACAACCCCTAAAATTTTAATTTGTATCTATGCTCCCACAAAATGTATCCAGTATACTCTCTCACGAACACATCAACACTGGGTCTCCATATTTAGAGAATTTTCATTATTTTCCCTCTAAAAATTTTATGACGTCATATACTGCGTGGTGCTCTACTCTATTCATGACAAAAAAATAAACATATTAACAAAATACGTCATTAATTTTTGTTTGTATTTATATGAATTGGATGTAAAGTGTGTTTATTGTACTCTTATTTTGAAAAGAAAACAAAAAAAAAACTTTTGACAACATCTCCCCTTTACTCTCATACACAACAAGTTGCAGTTGTATGTTTTCTTAGTGTATTATTTTTCGTTTTGGGGGTGGATGGTGGATACTTGGGTTTACAAAATAATAAATAATAAGCTTAGAAATGCTGATGCTCATCTAAATAAATAATTGTTTTCAAATATTGCTAGTGCCAGTGATGAAAATATTGGCACTAGCTATGAAACCTATTCATATTTTTTGACCTGCGTCGGTTCATTAACGATCATAACTCCCATTTAAGGTCCACTTCTGAAAATTAATGAATTAGTGATATCGGTTTCAGGTGTGGAAGAACAAAAAAAGTACTAAATTATTCACCTGGTTTTGGTTCTAAGTAAGACTTGGATTCCAAGTTCTAAAAGTTACACCATTTAGTGTAACGAAATGAGATTGAAGAATCCCACTTTTATGCTCCTTTTGGTACTAAATTATTCACCTGATTTTGGTCCTAAGTAAGACTTGGATTAGGAGTTCTAAAAGTTACACCATTTAGTGTATGGAAATCTGCCAATTAGCAATAATTATACAAAATTAGATTAATGAGTTTGAAAATTCCCACTTTTATGCATCTTTTGGTACTTTTTCTCTCCCTAGGCCGCAAAAAAAAGTACCTTTTTTATCAACTAACTAGTACCAGTTATTGGTAATTGTTTTTCCTCATCACTGGTCTAGTATCTAGAAAACCTTAAAACTCGTATGTATATGAAATATATATTTTTATACACAAACACAAAAATTCAATTGTTTTTCCAAGTGACGTCACAACACAATATCGCTGCTATTGCCTTAATATGATTTCGGCTTCTGGCAGTTATTTATTCTAGTTGTTATTGTTGCTGACGCTGCTGTTCTATTACATGTATTTGCGATGATTTTTTTAGAAAAAATGTTGCTTGTTTTTGATGGTTGGCTGGTTGGTTGTTACTGTCGCTGACAATCTGCTACAACAACTGCCAACACTGTTATTGCTATTGGGTATGATGACGATAATAAAAATGTATGACATTAAATTTTTGTCAAATGTAATAAAAAGTTGAAAAATGTTGTTGGAATAAGTAAATAAATGATTGAGAAGGGTAATGATGTTAGAAAAATCTTTGTATTTTTTTATTATTCTCAAAATTAAAGTTTTCGCTTTTTATTATTTGATTTAGTTTAAGTCTTATTTTTTATTTAATAGGTCGTCATCTGACCTTCAAATCGTGTTCTGATAGTGAGGGTTAGAGAAGTAGCAGTAAGGGGAGAGTATTGAAAACAAGCACTGTGTTATCCACCATCAAAACATGGGTTCTAAATTTAATGTGAATTTCGGAAAGTGGTCCTTTATTATTATGGATGAATGACATGGGACAACGAAATTTAAAAACCCCGAAACCTAAAGATATAGAATTGAACTTCGCGAAATTTAAAAACCCCGAAACCTAAAGATATAGAATTGAACTTCGCGAAATGTAGCCTCATTTCTCTATAGCATCAGATTTTTGAGATCTTGTCCTAAAATTTTCTCATTATTTGAGTCGTTATAACAGCGTGGAGACATCTAAGTATATGTTATCTGACAGCTCAATCTGTTGACTTTAAAATAAAGGCTTAATATCATCGATATCTTCTTCCATTTTCGATGTATTAACCTAATACTTGAAATAACTATTAATTTAAAAATCCTCTATTTTACGACAAAACTTCAATAAACGATATCTCGGCATCCTCAAGACAGTCAGATATAAAGAACTTATATAAAACTTGTTTATGCCTTTCAATATTTTTAGGTCAGCTGTGAACTGTAAAGAACTTATATGGCGCCAGCAACTTACCTTTTCCCATTTCGATGGACATATATTCAGATCAAACTGTCATCAATGAATATTCAGATTGGAACTGCTGTTCGATCGGTGTTATCTACTTAGAAAACGATAATTCGGATCAACTTCTGATTGACTTCAAATATAGATATATATCTCAATCTCTTTATAAGAAAAAGCACACGAAACTTTGTGAAAATTTGAAGACATATTTTGCCGATACAAAATTTGTGGACTAGCGGAGATGAAATATTTGAAGTGATTTTGGTCGTTTGATCTTTTGCAAATTCAGATTCCTGCATAGGACTAATGTGCTGTCGAACATGAGATTGATATCCGGGTATTGATATAGTATAATCGAAAAACTATCACTTAGTATGTTCGATAACGAATCGATGTTGACGTTCGAAACTATTTGAATTTCGGTTCAAGAAAATCGAATCAATTCTAGTTAATATGAGAAGTCAATAATAAAGATAAACGTTTTCTTTCGAACTAAATTAAACGATATGGGAATCATTTGGTTCGAGCATTATCGTTATAGACGGTTTCAGAAGTACGATAAGTACGTTTTTCCTTTAGTCAAGTTAAAAATACTTAATTTAAGTACGGATCCCTTAAATACGAAAAATATTGAAAAGGATTGAATTGATTCCCAAAATGGGCTTGATTTGAGTACGATTCTCACTTGATTTCAAAATTCAAAACATTTCAGCAAGGATTAAGTTACACTGAATCCGATATACATATCTCGAGGAAAGATGAAGATATAATAGAGATTACATATTTATTTTAAAGACAACATATTAGACTTATTAGACATATCCGCACTCAATTCTATGTATCCGCAGCCGTTTCAGAAGTACGATAAGTGCGATTCTTCTTTAGTAAAGTTCAAAATCTTAATTCAAGTATAAATCCTAATTTAAGCTTTTTTTTGGGTCAAGATTGAAAAGGATTGAATTGATTCCAAAATGGGCTTGAATTGAGCACGATTCTCACTTGATTTAAAAATTCAGAACATTTCAGCAAAATCACTTATATTAAATATGGCGATAGCTATATTTAATATAAGTGATTGTGCTATTCACTTAATCACGTCTTTATTTTAGAGAAATGATGTAAATTCTTTCGATTTTCTTCTTCTGCTTTCATTTATAGGATTGTTACTTCATATTTAGCAAAATAAAAAAAAAAAAAAAAAAAACATTTGTGATTTTTTATTTATCTTCTTTCTTTAACATACATATTATTTGTCTACTTATTATGGTAATGTTTTGTACATATAAATATAAATATTATTCTATACTTTTATTGTCACTCATATGTATGAAATTTCATTTAAAGATTGTATAGATTCGTTATGCATATAGAGTAGAGGAAGGAGAATTTTTATAGATAAGTATACGAAAAAACTGTATTACAAGAGGATTTATAATTTTAATTTCCTTTTATTATTTATTTATGGAATTTTTTTTCTAAGGAATTTTTTTATATTAGGTATAAACGAATTCTTTCTTCCTATTTTTATACCCACCATCAAAAAAGATGGGGGGTATATTGATTTTGTCATTCCGTTTGTAACACATAGAAATATTGGTCATAGACCCACAAAAGTATATATATTCTGGGTCCTCATTAAATTCTAAGACGATCTAGCCATGTCTGTCCGTCTGTCCGTCTGTCCGTCCGTCCGTCCGTCTGTCTGTCTGTCTGTCTGTTGAAAGCACGATAGAGTCCGAATGGAAAGAGCTAGAGGGTTGAAATTTCACATAAATATTTCTTATAGGTAAGGTCTGTTTG